ATATGTATTTCGGTCCTTCACTCCTTTTTTGGTTAAGAAAAATGTCATACCCATGAATTAAATATTTGCCATGCAGGCTCTCTTATTCTGGCAAAAGCATTTATTTTACTGGTCAAATTCCTTATTTTTATTTTACTTTGCTGCCTAGATCTGACATCTTTGTATTTAAAAAAAAAAAAAAACCCACCATAAACTGTAGTGCTGACCAATTTATGTGTGCATTTTAAGCCTTTGTTGAAAGCAGATATTTTGAGTTTTGCTACCAGCCTTTGGTGGCATCTGACATCTGGCAAATAAAACAAGGGGCTTGGGAGATGAAAGTGGAGGGGGAGGAATCACACCATAAAAGGGGTGCTAGGAGGAAGCAGGGGGTAAGATGCTGATGTGTAAGCAATGCTTGCAGTTATATATTCGGTTGGGGGCAGAAAAGAAGCACCATTAGTGCTTCAGATTGTCATTACTTTCAAAACTGGAGGTAGAGTAGACTTTGTTTGTTTGTTTGTTTGTTTGTTTGTTTGTTTGTTTCATATAGTTTGTACACCACGTGAGTATTCAGGACCAGCTAATTGGCTTGTATGCATTTACTTCTGCCAACCCCTATACAGTGGTGCCTCGCAAGACGAAATTAATCCGTTCCGCGAGAGTCTTCGTCTAGCGGTTTTTTCGTCTTGCGAAGCAAGCCCATTGACGGATTAGCGCTATTAGCGCTATTAGCGGTTTAGCGGCTATTAAAGGCTTAAAGGTTTAGGGGATTAGCTGCTAAAAGGCTATTAAAGGCTATTAAAGGCTTAGCAGATTAGATAAAGGGGGAAAGTGAAAAAAATTTCAAGACTCGCAAGACATTTTCGTCTTGCGAAGCAAGCCCATAGGGGAATTCGTCCTGCGAAGCAACTCCAAAACGGAAAACCCTTTCGTCTAGCGGTTTTTCCGTCTTGCGAGGCATTCGTCTTGCGGGGCACCACTGTAGAGGCTAAAAAACCCTGAAGAGAAATGTGCTATTGTGATTAGAGTTTCGCATTGGACGTGGGAGGGCTAGTGTCAAGTAAAGTTCATTTGATATATTTATTTAGCAAGATGTCTACATTACTTAGTAAAATTAATTAATACATCTCGAAGCAGTTTGCATAAAATGAACCCTATAGGGTCTCATGCAGATAAGACCTCCTCCATGCTCATTAGATAAAGGGCAAGACAGAAAGATATCAAATACACAATGCTTAAATAAGTTCAAGTGTGTCCTCATGTGGGTTGTTGAGCTCTTTGCATCTGCAGATAGGAATTTGCATATGGCAAGAATCATAGATTTAATAGTAGAGGTGACATGATGCTTCACTATCAGTTTCCGCCTTCAGTATCATAATGGCATAGAATTAGATGTGAGACAGGAGTGCCAGCTTGGCCCTGCAACCATGGGTGCCCAGAGCCGTGGGTGTCATGTAGCAAACATGGCCCTGGCGTTGAAATTTGTGGGTGCCTGGCCCCTTCATGGGGAATTTTGTGGGTGCTCGGGCACCCAGGGCCCCAGGGTGTCAGCACCCCTGGTGTGAGATATATGTGAAGTTATCTATACTTTCTGATACCACTGTTGTCCCATGTGGCAACTGAGCAAACCTTAGTGCAATGGTAGATATTTTCCATCAACTGGCATTCTTTCCACTTTATAAATGAGAAAATGAGTCCAGAGATGTTGACTCACTCAAGGGTGCCCCAAGAAGCTAAGGTTCATCATCATAATAAAATATTTATAAAAATACATTTAATAAAATTTTATATAAAGTAAACAATCAATGACTAAAAGGCCAGGCTTCCTTTTTGATGCCTACTTAGGAGATTCTTAACAGTCTTCTTTGTTGTTGTTGTTTAGTCGTTTAGTCGTGTCCGACTCTTCGTGACCCCATGGACCAGAGCACACCAGGCACTCCTGTCTTCCACTGCCTCCTGCAGTTTGGTCAGACTCATGTTTGTAGCTTCGAGAACAGTGTCCAACCATCTCGTCCTCTGTCGTCCCCTTCTCCTTGTGCCCTCAATCTTTCCCAACATCAGGGTCTTTTCCAGGAGTCTTCTCTTCTCATGAGGTGGCCAAAGTATTGGAGCCTCAGCTTCACGATCTGTCCTTCCAGTGAGCACTCAGGGCTGATTTCCTTAAGAATGGATGCGTTTGATCTTCTTGCAGTCCATGGGACTCTCAAGAGTCTCCTCCAGCACCATAATTCAAAAGCATCAATTCTTCGGCGATCAGCCTTCTTTATGGTCCAGCTCTCACTTCCATACATCACTACTGGGAAAACCATGGCTTTTACTATACGGACCTTTGTTGGCAAGGTGATGTCTCTGCTTTAAGATGCTGTCTAGGTTTGCCATCGCCTTTCTCCCAAGGAGCAGGTGTCTTTTAATTTCGTGACTGCTGTCACCATCTGCAGTGATCATGGAGCCCAAGAAAGTAAAATCTCTCACTGCCTCCATTTCTTCCCCTTCTATTTGCCAGGAGGTGATGGGCCCAGTGGCCATGATCTTTGTTTTTTGATGTTGAGCTTCAGACCATATTTTGCGCTCTCCTCTTTCACCCTCATTAAAAGGTTCTTTAATTCCTCCTCACTTTCTGCCATCAAGGTTGTGTCATCTGCATATCTGAGGTTGCTGATATTTCTTCCGGCGATCTTAATTCCGGCTTGGGATTCATCCAGCCCAGCCTTTCGCATGATGGATAACCAGGGAGACAAGATACAGCCTTGCCGTACTCCTTTCCCAATTTTGAACCAATCAGTTGTTCCATATCCAGTTCTAACTATAGCTTCTTGTCCCACATAGAGATTTCTCAGGAGACAGATGAGGTGATCAGGCACTCCCATTTTTTTAAGAACTTGCCATAGTTTGCTGTGGTCGACACAGTCAAAGGCTTTTGCATAGTCAATGAAGCAGAAGTAGATGTCTTTCTGGAACTCTCTAGCTTTCTCCATAATCCATCGCATGTTTGCAATTTGGTCTTTGGTTCCTCTGCCCCTTCGAAATCCAGCTTGCACTTCTGGGAGTTCTCGGTCCACATACTGCTTAAGCCTGCCTTGTAGAATTTTAAGCATAACCTTGCTAGCGTGTGAAATGAGTGCAATTGTGCGGTAGTTGGAGCATTCTTTGGCACTGCCCTTCTTTGGGATTGGGATGTAGACTGATCTTCTCCAATCCTCTGGCCACTGCTGAGTTTTCCAAATTTGCTGGCATATTGAGTGTAGCACCTTAACAGGATCATCTTTTAAAATTTTAAATAGTTCAGCTGGAATATCATCACTTCCACTGGCCTTGTTATTAGCAGTGCTTTCTAAGGCCCATTTGACTTCACTCTCCAGGATGTCTGGCTCAAGGTCAGCAACCACACTACCTGGGGTATACGAGACATCCATTTCTTTCTGGTATAGTTCCTCTGTGTATTCTTGCCACCTCTTCTTGATGTCTTCTGCTTCTGTTAGGTCCTTTCCACTTTTGTCTTTTATTATAGAAATCTTTGTACGAAATGTTCCTTTCATATCTCCAATTTTCTTGAACAGATCTCTGGTTTTTCCCATTCTATTGTTTTCCTCTATTTCTTTGCATTGCTCGTTTAAGAAGGCCTTCTTTTCTCTCCTTGCTATTTTTTGGAAATCTGCATTCAATTTCCTGTATCTTTCACTATCTCCCTCACATTTTGCTTGCCTTCTCTCCCCCGCTATTTGTAAGGCCTCGTTGGACAGCCACTTTGCTTTCTTGCATTTCCTTTTAACTGGGATGGTTTTAGTTGCTGCCTCCTGTATAATGTTATGAGCCTCCATCCATAGTTCTTCAGGCACTCTGTCCACCAAATCTTAATCCTTAAACCTGTTCCTCACTTCCACTGAGAAGAACATCCTTCTTTGGTGTCATTTCTATAAGGTGTTGTAAGTCTTCATAGAATTGGTCAATTTCAGGTTCTTCAGCACCAGTGGTTGGTGCATAAACTTGGATTACTGTGATGTTAAAAGGTCTGCCTTGGATTCATATCGAGATCATTCTATCATTTTTGAGATTGCATCCCAGTACAGCTTTTGCCACTCTTTTGTTGACTATGAGGGCCACTCCATTTCTTTTACGGGATTCTTGCCCACAGTAGTAGATATGATGGTCATCCGAACTGAATTCACCCATTCCCGTCCATTTTAGTTCACTGATGCCCAGGATGTCAATATTTATTCTTGCAATCTCATTTTTGACCACATCCAACTTACCAAGGTTCATGGTTCTTACATTCCAGGTTCCTATGCAATATTTTTCTTTACAGCATTGGACTTTCCTTTCGCTTCCAGGCATATCCGCAACTGAGCGTCCTTTCGGCTTTGGCCCAGCCGCTTCATCAGCTCTGGATCTACTTGTACTTGTCCTCCGCTCTTCCTCAGCAGCATGTTGGACGCCTTCCGACCTGAGGGGCTCATTTTCCAGTGTCATAACTTTTATATGCCTTTTGTCTTTGTCCATGGAGTTTTCTTGGCAGGGATACTGGAGTGGCTTGCCGGTTCCTGCTCCAGGTGGATCATGTTTGGTCAAAACTCTCCACTATGACCTGTCCATCTTGGGTGGCCCTGCACGGCATAGCTCATAGCTTCTCTGAGTTATTCAAGCCCCTTCACCACGGCAAGGCAGTGATCCATGAAGGGGACAGTTTTCTTTAGCCCATGTATAATTGAAGTGCTCTTGTGGGTATTGACCTCTTGCTCCAACGCCTGGGACTCTCTTGTAGGTGGTGTTCTGGAATAAGTCTCTTCTCTGATTATTGAAGTAGGATCTTCAGGGTCCTTCAGATCTACTTGTTCTTCCCCAACTTCCCCTCGACTAGATTTTCTGAGGATTATCTCCCGCACCAACTCAGATGATGAGTCTTCCTCATCTGTGATCTTGGATTGATTGGAGTCATAGGGGGACTCCAGGCTGTCTGGTGCAGGGGCCTTCTGGCCACTGGCAGTCTGAACAGATGTTAATCTCTGTTTGAGGGTTTGGAGCTATTTGCAGAGCTCCTGGTTCTCCTTCAAAACCTCTCTTATGGTGTTCCTATCTTCTTCCACAATTATTTCTTGTATCTGGGTCATCTGGCCTGCTGTTTCAGTGACATTACAGCTTAATTTCTCCATCAGAGATTGTAAGTTTTCTGAGGGCTCACCACCAATAGGCACTGGAAGGGTCTCTGTGCAAGCCTGCAGCAGTGAGACCTGCAGCTGTTGGACCTGCTGCTTTAGCCTGGCAATCTCTGCTGCCTGAGGGTCAGTATTCACTATCAGCTTGTTCTTTATTTTTCTGACCCTGTCAGCATAGTGAAGAGTATTCAAAGTGTATTTGAGGTTCAAATCTGTTGGGCTCACACATGATTTGCCTCCCAAGGAATCTTGCAAAAGGCGTGTTAACTTGTAGTCTCTATAAGGGACAAAATTGCCCTTCTTCGTTTCCTCCCTAAGAGCGCAGATGATGTTCCCCAGGCAGAGGAGTGTTTTGTTGATGCTGATCCCTTCCCACAGTCTAACACCTTCTGCTTTTGTATTGCTTTGCCTTTCTGAACCAGCAAGGTCTACAAAGTGCAGCTTGGAATGCAAAATGGTGTTCTTATCACTCTTGCTTTTCTGTCCAATGGTCATGGTGAAGATGGCATGAGTTTGTGATGACTGGGTGTTCATGGCCGTGGCAGCCACTGTTCGGGAGTTGTTCCCCCGCTCCAGGCACTGGGTGATGTCTTCAGCAGACTTCACCACGTGCTCAGTTAGCCCCACAACCTTGATGCCTCCCCTCGGATTTTCACGAATGCTGATTGAAGGTTTCTTCCTTTTCAATGGTGCCAAGAGATCTAAGATGTCATCGTTGTAGATCTCCAAATAAGAGACTTTCAGGGAAGACTGCCACTCTGACCACTCTTTCATTTCTTGGAAGAGAAGCTTTATTGCCCGAGAGATGATTCTGACAGTGGGATCGTTCTCTTTGTCAGCTATGTAAGCCACTCCCATGGAGTATGTTTTCCCAGATCCTGTCTCACCATAAGCCAAAACCGGGGAGAAACACAGGTTCTCTTGCTCAGTAGATGGGTCGAAGACATAATCATATGTGAATGCTTCGTCAGTACATAGAACCACCTGCTGTTCTCCAGGGACAAAAGTCAAACACATCTGGCAACTCTTAAAATGTTATTTAGAAATAAGGGGGCTGCACTTCAGTGCCACCTGCACATGGATGATCCTGGCCTCTTCTTTCAACATTTTATAATGTTATATTCCTGTGCTCACCCACACCCTCCCGTGCTGAAGAAAGTTCCAACGTGAGCTCACAGGACGGCGGAGGCCAGCTCGCCCCCTCGCAAAGCCCCCCATCCAGCCTGCTGGTGCGCCCTCTGGAACTTACACCCTGGTTCATCATAATTTATGAATAATTCTTTTCTAATGAAAATAAGATGATTCATCTTATTGTGTGACTTCTTGAAAAATGATTATGTAACATACAACCACACCTATATGAATTTTTAAAAATTGTACTTTCACAGATACATAGCAGTAAAGGTGTTAGGCTATAGAAATATTCACCCAAATCCCATTTCCCAAGAACAGTCCAAACTTCTTGCTGCAAGCGATGAAAAACATGGAATGTTTTGAAGCATGAACTATTCATCTACCTAATGAAACAAACAGGAAAGAACTGAGCCTAGCAATAATGAATCTGTCATTATCCAGTTTCTAATTTTTCTAGTCTTATGATCAGATCTCCCATTTCAGTTCGCTTTTCTTTAAAGACCTCACAAAAATTGCTCAACATTTTAGTTACAGGTAGGTAGCCGTGTTGGTCTGCCGTAATCGAAACAAAATAAAAAAATTCCTTCCAGTAGCACCTTAGAGACCAACTTAGAGATCAACATTTTAGTTCACATTTCTCTAAATTTTCTTGCATGCATTTTTGCCTAACACAAGGCATTTTTGTACATCATTTTCACAAATATGTTCCTTTTTGCATAAATCTCTCCACTATACATATTTTTGCATTTTTGTTGTTGTTGGAGAATTGCATCAGAAAATTGGGGAAATTTGTGCAAATTTCAAAGGACAACTATTTCACTTGTCTATTGTTTTAGGAAATGCGAAGTAGCTATATTTATATTAAAATGTGAAGTAAATTTAATTTCTCCCTCATCCATAGTCTTGAGAGGGACATTTGAAATCAATGCAAGAAAGAGAACAGCTCGATTGCTACAAGTAGCCAAAGTTTGTGTGTGTGTGTGTGTGTGTGTGTGTGTGAGAGAGAGAGAGAGAGAGAGAGAGAGTGCAATTTGATGACAGGCTGGTTATCATAATAACAAGGGTTAGAAAAGTTTTTGCCTGATATTATTTATTTAAAATATGTATATACCACTTTTGAGAGTATGCTCTTTCAAGGCAGCTTTTAATTAAACTAGAGCAGTAGAATTACACACACACACTCATAGGTAAAAGACGAAAAGATCAGCAACTTGCAGAACAGGAAAGCGTTCCAAAATTACTAAAATTCGATCAAAGCCATCAGCAAAAGCAGACCAGTAATAATTTTGGGAAACCCTTCAGGGGAAAGTCCATGTTAAAAAAGGTGAGTCTTCAGATTTTTCCAAAAGATCTGCAATGTTATGCTCTGGCAGAGTCCAAGAGGCAATGAATTCCAAAGCCACTTGGCAGATGCACAAAATTGCGAGCCGCTTTCAGCTCAATATTTGTAGTTGGAAAAGCAAAATAGAAATATTATATCAAATAAAATAAAAAATGCTCTCTGCCTTCAGCTTGCCCATTTGAATGGTCCTGAAAGAAATAGAAGATGCACACAGCAGCATGAGGCTCTTGTGCTTCGTTCCTCAAAATTTAGTGGCACTTGCACTGTATGGGAAAACCAACCGGAAGACTAATTGTATATCAAGGAGGCAGTGATTCTAACATAGTTACCCTTCTTGCCTCTGTTCCTTCCCCCTCCCTGGCAGCTGTTAAGTTTTTGAAGGTGTGAGAACCTTCTCTGATGTCCTACCTAATCAGCTGGGAGAAAGTGAAGCCCCCCCCCCCCCACAGCTGCCTTAATCAGTCTGAGAGATTAGTGCTGGGAACCTTCTTTAATGTTGGAAATTGTTGTTGGAGGGTGGGGCATTGAAAGGAGGTGGTTATCTATAAAATCAAATGGTTTGGAGAGGGTGATTTAGAAGCTCCTGATCGGACTGGTAGGCTGCAGGGCCGTGCAATCTAGGCTACCTGGGGGAGTCACTTTGCCACTTCTTCGGGGCTCCCAAGTGCATGTCCTGGTATGTATATATATTGCTTGCTATTTAGGAATAAAACCTTCTCACTCGTGTTTCATATTGCTTCTGAATCCTTAACAAAAGAACCACCTTGCATTTGGCAAGACATACCCATGTGAATCTTCCACTTGTTTGTTTCCTATAAACATAATTTAACAAATTGGCCCCTAGACTATGCTTCATTTTTATTCATTCATTCATACAAAATATATTTGATAATTTTTTTTTCTGAACAGGTAGTAGCAAATCTGTAAATATATGTCTGCCACCACTGATAAAAATGCTTTTAAAATTCTTTCCAGAACATGAGGAAAGGCAAGTGCGAAGCAGGATATCCTTAGCACAACACTCATTCTAACGGATATGGAAAGAGCCTTTGTTTATAATGGTTAAAAACACCAGTTTATGTTAGCTGGGGAAACAATGGTATCACAGAAAGCTACTGATTGTGAAGTATTTCTTTTATTGACATAATTAAGTTCAGTGCTCTTCACTTTGAATCACAGAAGTGATTTGTGGAACATACATACATAGGCTAACATACATAGGCAAAGTGAAACTAGCCCAGTTCAGACGTAACTGGAAACCATGGCTTCCTCTATGTGAATGAGCTGCTGTGAGCCTTGGGCTTGCATCGTCATCCCCTCCCTCTCCTCTTTTGTAATCAGAAGTGTCTGCTTTTGATTTTTAGGTAACCACCATTCCCTCAGGTGTCTCATCTTAAGAATGGGCAATAAACTACTGTTTGTTCTACTAATGCAGCATTTGTACTTCCATCTACTTAAGAGCAAGCCCCTTAAACACAATGTGATTTTTTTCTGAGTCAACATGCATAAAATCAAGCAGGCTAGCCTATTTTCCCATATCATACTGTACTGTTCTTCATGCGTCGAGTCGTTTGGAAAGTAATCCTCTGCCTTCATACATTGCTGACTTACATGCTCATTGTGGAACTTTACACTCTTCCTTGTTATACAAATGATACAGATATGTTCCCATCTGATTTTCTTACTTGTGTTTTTGGAGGCAGATAAAAAAGTGTGATCTTTGAGAAAGGAGGAGGAGGAGAAATGTTTGTTTGTAGCTGTCTATTTTCCTTGGCTTGGCAGTGACAGGGAGAAGCTGCTAACATTATTTTGACTACGTTGTGCCGAGAAACCATTTGGCAAAAAGCCTCAGAAATGGGAAGAGAGTTTTCCAGCACTTTCATGCACTCTATTCTGCAGTGGAGCTTGCCTTGCCAGCTTTTTAAAAACGAAGAAGAGGAGGAGGAGGAGAGATTATTGAGTACTTCAAAGTCAGGAAATGATAGCTTTACAGTTGCTCATGCAATCTTAATTTAGTTCGCTTTCTGGTCTCTCCTGCGCAGCAACCTGCTGGTTGTCGACAGGAATGAAGTGCTCTGTAAGCAAAAGTTAATCTTCAAAATCAATCAGCATAAAGGAAAACTGAACCAGCTGGAAAGAGCAGCACAGTAACCAAGTGATACTGTCCTGCAACTTTCTCATTTGCTAGACATGGTAAATAGTTAAGAAGGCAGGAACCATCTCTTTTCCTCATCCCTCTTTTCCCAGCACCCCAGTTATTGAAAGTCATCAAGGGAAGAGAGACAATCTTGGAACACTGCTCTAAAAGAATAGTATTTCTACTTCTGTGTAGAACTTGTTTGCATTTCAATTTCCTTTTCAGCTATAACCATTCAATTATATATGAAACAGTCAAAAAACAGCTACATTAATTTTGTTGCAAACAAGGTGCATGGTAGGGTTGCCATACGTCTGCAGTTTCCCAGACATATCCAGAACACTGCAGTCAGCAGCAGTGTCCAGGCGGAAATTGGGAAAATCTCTGGGGAAATCCAGACATATGACGGCCCATGTCAGCAGTGTCACTTTTGCCCATGTTCCATAAAAATATCACAAAAGTGGCAAAACACAGCAACTTTTCTGATCGGATTTTTGCTGTGGCAACTCTAATTTACTAGCTCACATATAACATATGTCATTAAATAAAATGAGTCAATCCAAATCCCTGTTAAATGTGCACTCAAAACCAGTACGAGATTGTCAATAACAAATGTTAGCCCTTTATGAAAACATTTTTCCCCTTCAAAGGTGTTCCATTTTATGTGTACAAACTGTGGAACTTAAGCATTTACAAGTCTTCACATTATTTATACATTTGAATCTGGGTGAAAGTAGTGAAGTGATCTGTTACAAGGTTTCAGTTCTATATGTGCGAGTGTAAAGAGTGAAATGCAAATTTTCTTCAATTTTTCAATCAACCTTTTCACTATGCTGTGACCAAGACCTGCTGGTTGGCTGCAGGGTCCACTACACTGGCACCACAATGCCAGTCATTCCTGGTTATCAGCAAACAACCAGAGAAAAGGCAGTAAGGCAAGGCTTAATACAGGCATAGGCAAACTCGGCCCTATAAATGTTTTGGGACTACAACTCTCCTCATCTCTAGCTAACAGGACCAGTGGTCAGGGATGATGGGAGTTGTAGTCCCCAAACATCCGAAGGGCCGAGTTTGCCTATGCCTGGTTTAATAGGTTCCCTTGAGCTATGGTTACCGGATTTTTTTCAGTGAATCCGGAGACACTTTTTTTTTTTTTAAAGCTGAATAGCAACAGGGAGTCAGTAGTAGTGAGGCCCAAGCACATTTTCTTTATTTCATTTGTATCCTTGCTGGGGGTGGGAATCATTTTGTCAAGTGGTTAAGGCATTCTGAAAAAAACAAACAAAACAAAACAAAACAAAACAAAACACAAAACAGAATGTTTTAAGAAAAATCAAGATGCCAGTTTCACAAAAAGTACTGCCTACCCCCTCCCACTCAGCTGCCCTACAGCTGGGGGGAGGC